TTTTTTCGTTTGCAGCAGTTGAAATAATAGAACATCTACGTCCAAACTTGTATCAAAATATAAGGTCACGGTCATCTCTTGAGGTCAAGTGAAGGTCAAATGTATGAGACTATAGAAGATTCCTAAAAATTTAACAGGATTGTTGATGAAACAATCAAAGACGGACCATTACTAACTTTTTACAAGGATTTCAATATTGACCTTGGATTCGACATTGAACTTACATTCAAGGTTATTTCAAGGTAAACTATTATTTTCTGTGGTCTGAAGCAATTGAAATGAACATGTATCAAAACATAAGGTCAAGTTCATCTCTTAAGGTTAAGTGAAGGTCAAATGTGTGAGACTATAGAAGCTTCCTAAAAATTTGACAACATTGTTGATGAAAAAATCAAAGGCAGACCGTTACTAACTTTTTACAAGGATTTCAATATTGACCTTGGATTCGACATTGAACCTCACATTCAAGGTTATTTCAAGGTAAACTATTATTTTCTTTGGTCTGAAGCAATTGAAATGATAGAACATCCTAAGCCCGAACATGTATCAAAACATAAGGTCAAGTTCATCTCTTAAGGTTAAGTGAAGGTCAAATGTATGAGACTATAGAAGATTCTTAAAAATTTAACAGGATTGTTGATGAAAAAATCAAAGGCGACCATTAATAACTTTTTACAAGGATATCAATATTGACCTTGGATTCGACATTGAACGTCACATTCAAGGTTATTTCAACGTAAACTATTATTTGCTTTGGTCTAAAGCAATTGAAATGATAGAAAATTCTACGCCCAAACATGTATCAAAACATAAGGTCAAGTTCATCTCTTAAGGTTAAGTGAAGGTCAAATGTATGAGACTATAAAAGATTCCTAAAAATTTAACAGGATTGTTGATGAAAAAATCAAAGGCAGACCATTACTAACTTTTTACAAGGATTTCAATATTGACCTTGGATTCGACATTGAACCTCACATTCAAGGTCATTTCAAGCTAAACTATTATTTTCTGTGGTCTGAAGCAATTGAAATAAACATGTATCAAAACATAAGGTCAAGTTCATCTCTTAAGGTTAAGTGAAGGTCAAATGTGTGAGACTATAGAAGATTCCTAAAAATTTGACAACATTGTTGATGAAAAAATCAAAGGCAGACCGTTACTAACTTTTTCAAGGATTTCAATATTGTCCTTGGATTCGACATTGAACCTCACATTCAAGGTTATTTCAAGGTAAACTATTATTTTCTTTGGTCTGAAGCAATTGAAATGATAGAACATCCTAAGCCCGAACATGTATCAAAACATAAGGTCAAGTTCATCTCTTAAGGTTAAGTGAAGGTCAAATGTGTGAGACTATAGAAGATTCATAAAAATTTGACAACATTGTTGATGAAAAAATCAAAGGCACGCCATTACAAACTTTTTACAAGGATTTCAATATTGACCTTGGATGCGACATTGAACCTGACATTCAAGGTTATTGCAAGGTAAACTATTATTTTCTTTGGTCTGAAGCAATTGAAATGATAGAACATCCTACGCCCGAACATGTATCAAAACATAAGGTCAAGTTCATCTCTTAAGGTTAAGTGAAGGTCAAATGAATGGGACTATAGAAGATTCCTAAAAATTTAACAGGATTGTTGATGAAACAATCAACGACGAACCATTACTAACTTTTTACAAGGATTTCAATATTGACCTTGGATTCGATATTGAACCTCACGTTCAAGGTTATTTCAAGGTAAACTATTATTTTGTTTGGTCTGAAGCAATTGAAATGATAGAATATCCTACGCCCGAACATGTATCAAAACATAAGGTCAAGTTCATCTCTTAAGGTTAAGTGAAGGTCAAATGAATGAGACTATAGAAGATTCCTAAAAATTTAACAGGATTGGTGATGAAAAAATCAAAGGCAGAATATTACTAACTTTTTCAAGGATTTCAATATTGACCTTGGATGCGACATTGAACCTCACATTGAAGGTTATTTCAAGGTAAACTATTATTTTCTTTGGTCTGAAGCAATTGAAATGATAGAACATTCTACGCCCGAACATGTATCAAAACATAAGGTCAAGTTCATCTCTTAAGGTTAAGTGAAGGTCAAATGAATGAGACTATAGAAGATTCCTAAAAATTTAACAGGATTGTTGATGAAAAAATCAAAGGCAGACCATTAATAACTTTTTACAAGGATATCAATATTGACCTTGGATTCGACATTGATCCTCACATTCAAGGTTATTTCAAGGTAAACTATTATTTTCTTTGGTCTGAAGCAATTGAAATGATAGAACATCCTACGCCCGAACATGTATCAAAACATAAGGTCAAGTTCATCTCTTAAGGTGAAGTGAAGGTCGAATGTATGAGACTATAGAAGATTCCTAAAAATTTAACAGGATTGGTGATGAAACAATCACAGGCAGAACATTACTAACTTTTTCAAGGATTTCAATATTGACCTTGGATTCGACATTGAACCTCACATTCAAGGTTATTTCAAGGTAAATTGTAAATTATTATTTTCTTTGGTCTGAAGCAATTGAAATGATAGCACATCCTACGCCCGAACATGTATCAAAACATAAGGTCAAGTTCATCTCTTAAGGTTAAGTGAAAGTCAAATGTACGAGACTATAGAAGATTCTTAAAAATTTAACAGGATTGTTGATGAAAAAATCAAAGACAGACCATTACTAACTTTTTACAAGGATTTCAATATTGACCTTGAATGCGACATTGAACTTACATTCAAGGTTATTTCAAGGTAAGCTATTATTTTCTTTGGTCTGAAGCAATTGAAATGATAGAACATTCTACGTCCGAACATGTATCAAAACATAAGGTCAAGTTCATCTCTTAAAGTCAAATGTACGCGACTATAGAGGATTCCTGAAAATTTAACAGGATTGTTGATGAAAAAAGAAGGACCATTACTAACTTTTTACAAGGATTTCAATATTGACCTTGGATTCGACATTGAACCTCACATTCAAGGTTATTTCAAGGTAAACTATTATTTTCTTTGGTCTGAAGCAATTGAAATGATAGAACATTCTACGTCCGAACATGTATCAAAACTTAAGGTCAAATGTACGTAGACTATAGAAGATTCCTGAAAATTGATCAGGATTGTTGATGAAAAAAGACGGACCATTACTAACTTTTTACAAGGATTTCAATATCGACCTTGGATTCGACATTGAACCTCACATTCAAGGTTATTTCAAGGTAAACTATTATTTTCTTTGGTCTGAAGCAATTGAAATGATAGAACATTCTACGCCCGAACATGTATCAAAACATAAGGTCAAGTTCATCTCTTAAGGTTAAGTGAAGGTCAAATGTGTGAGACTATAGAAGATTCCTAAAAATTTAGCAAGATTGTTGATGAAAAAATCAAAGGCAGACCATTAATAACTTTTTACAAGGATTTCAATATTGACCTTGGATGCGACATTGAAAATCACATTCAAGGTTATTTCAAGGTGAACTATTATTTTCTTTGGTCTGAAGCAATTGAAATTATAGAACATTCTACGGTCGAACATAAAGCCAAGTTCATCTCTTAAGGTTAATTGAAGGTCAAATGTGTGAGACTATTGAAGGTTCCTAAGAATTTAGTAAGATTGTTGATGAAAAAATCAAAGACAGACCATTACTAACTTTTGACAGGGATTTCAATATTGACCTTGGATGCGAAATTGTACCTAACCTTCAAGGTTATTTTAAGGTCAACTATTATTTTTTGGCTTAAAGCAATTATACAACATTCTACGTCCAAATATGTATTAAAATATAAGATCAAGATCACCTCTGAAGGTCAAGACAAGGTTAAATGTGTATGCTATGGAAAATTCCTAGAAATTTAGCAGGATTATTGATGAAAACCTCAAAGACAGACCATAACCAACTTTTAACAAGAATTTCAATACTGACCTTAATTTTGGTCATTAAAGCTCACTTTCAAGGTCAACTATTATTTTGTTTAAAGCAACTGAAATAATAGAACATTCTACGTCCAAGAATGTATCAAAATATAAGATGAAGGTCACATCTAAAGGTCTAGTGAAGGGCAAATGTGTTGTTCAAAGTCAGTAAAGACCTAATCACGATCTTTTTCAAGAGTATATTTCTTGACAAAATACACAGAAATTCCATTACTTTTGGTATATTAGAAAATTAATTTCAAGAATTAAAGTTCAGCTACAATCACACGCCTGGACTTTTAATGACACATCGAAAAACTGAAAATCAAGAGACCAAAAAGCAATTTAATTACGACATTTCTTGGTCATGAACTCTCTTTTCAGCAATCATAATTGATTCTTATATCATGCGGTTTAATACGATTGAATTTTTGTATGCACTTATTTGGAGTCAAAGGTCTCTGAAAACAGAATCGTGAATTGAAAAAGGGATTTCACGAAACATTTATGCAAAATGATCATTGAAAATTTCGAGAAATGAGTGAGTATGTAGCTAAAAGAATCAAGGAGGCTTCATATAAATCACATCCTATCATCTTTATGAATCAACAAAGAAACTAAATAAAAACTGTTTTCTATTAACTCACGTCTTGCGTAAATTTCGTACGTGCCATTACAATGTTACACATTTTTTTTTCATCCTCGCAAATCATTGTCACTCAATCCTATTCAATCGAAAGCCAAATTGATCGTTTCATTTCCTATTTATCCATAATGACTATTATTTAAAACCTCGGCTGCGCCTATTGTTCCTCGGCAATTATTTATACATTTTATGTCGCAGATAAATTCAAAATGCTATCCCACATATCGCTGATAGCATTAATTAGGTTTTTATTAATTCGTTTTTCAAACAGAGAAATGACGTGTGCAAGTATTGCGAACACCATCGAAAATGAGCCGCGGTCAAATCTTTTTATACTCGATTCTGTCATGTCTTATTTTGATATGCATCATAGATGATAGTGAAGTGAGTATATTTTTCAACCTTTCGATTATTGGGTTATTTGCTGGAAGAATTGAACCTGTACTTAAAACAACGTGATAACGTTGAAAACTAGTGAAACTTTTTAATATTAAGTAACATACAAATGGCTAGAGAAAGCCGTGTATCATAGACTATACGGGGCGTTAAGTATTCGTTAGTTTAGTAAAATTTATTAATTTCAATGTTAATGTAATGTAATTAGTAATAAAAAATATAAAAAGTAATAATTTCCAAAAGAAACTATTACCAATATTCCTTGTAAAATTTTTAAAAATCGTAACCTCTCGACAAAGGTGTTCAGAAAATTGGTAAAGCATACAAAAGCAAACTTTGTTCATATTTTAGTTTGTGATACAATTTACGTTTACAAATATGGTTTCCCTGATTGCGATACAAAAGTATTTACTTAAAAACTGGCCCCGGTACAAGAAAATAAGAAGAACCAAGATAACGTTTTCAAAATGATTGTGCTGATTCCAGGAATTGCCGGGCTTAACGATAAAGAAACTGCAAGCATGTCCCAAGTATCCGAAAGCTCTCGCAAAACTGAGCAATATCAAACTCAAGAAAGTTAAAGAAAACATGTTAATTTCGTACACTGGTGTGATAAGTCGAGATATTACGAATGACTTGGAGGTAAGTGCAATATGAATAAATCTATCATATCAATCATACAGCTTCTCCTGGAATATTCAAAGAGCATCTTGACACGTCCCCAAATGCTATCGTGGCTTTGCGAGTGGTTAAAGATCGCTTTTCAAGATCATATGTGATTTCTTTTTTTTGTTTGGGGAAAATGAAACGTCCATTCTAAAACGACTACAGAAAACTTTGAACAATACTTACAAATGACAGAGCCGTACTTGAAATTTCTTTTCGATTTTTGTATCTTTAGTGGCATTAGTAAATTGACGATGGTTGGGAAATTCGGTTACCTACACGTTTCGAGGGTAAAACCGCGGGACAGAAAGCTAGTTTCAGAACTAGCTTATATTAGTATAAGAACAGAATTAAGAATGTTTTTTTTTGTTTAGGTTCAAGCAGTACTAACGAGGTGTGCGGCTAGTGAAGCTTTGGATACCTGCGAAAGGATGAGGCCCTTTACAATAAAGAATTTCTGTAGATTTTTCAACATAGACAAAACGCCTTGGAGTAGTTTTTTGAATTTTCTTAAGCCACATGTGACGTGCCCCATCAAAAAGGTGAATAATTTTATTACCGTTGTATAGTGATTTGACGATCGTTTCTTCCTTCTGCAATCATACATTGAAGTGTCAGGTGATGAGATTTCAAGTTAATCAGAAAACAGAAAAATATTCACATTTTATAAACAAGAATGGAAATCCACGGGCTTTCCAAGTTTCAATAAATGACTTAATATTTGTCCAGGAAAGATGTGTGGTTGTTTGTGCGCGCAATACAAATATATAATTTTTTTCATACAAGTAGAGGGCGTTGCGTGACGCGACGGTCATGATTTTTTCCTCCTACCGATTTCCAAAGACACTATCTACCGATTTCGTCTTTTTCGGTTCGGCAACACTGGTATACACAAAAGTATAACATCAATTTAGCAAATCCAAGATTTTCCATTTCCAATATTTCTGCTTGCACGTTGCAATAGTACCTAGGTATTTGTTGGTTTCAGGGAACCTACGTCCTCAAAGACGCTGAGGTGTCGTCTGGCGATTTTGGTAGATTCCCATTCGCGAGTGGCTTTTACAAGTTCGAATTTATATTGAAAGATCAAGGCAATGGCGACGTCATAACTTGTGTCTACGTAGAAGCAACATTAAATCCATAATAATTGCTTACCTATGCGTGTAAGCGACATTAATTTGAAATACAGATTATACTCCTTCTTCTGTGTACACTTTTATTAAGGATGCGAAAATACACGGATTATACCAAAAGTAAGATTGCATAGTTTTATTGAAAGTACAAAAACTATTTATTAACAAATTGATTCATCCATTCAGCCTATTTACCAGGAAAAACTGCGGTAATGCTGCAAAAACGACCCAGAAACTTGACGCCTGGAGTACCAGTGGTGCTTTGACAGGGTTGCCATGTTGGCTGATTTTTACCTAAATTTGGGGATTTTTACTTGGGCAATTTTTGAGGTATATAATGTTCTGTAAAATGACACACTTTGTGGATAGAAAGCATCCTTCGCTCTTTGAACCAAACCTATCATTTTCCATTGAGTAACTGTGATTAGGAAGACATTATGGAGAAACAGCAATTCTAGGGATCCATCCGGCAATAATGTGCTTTGACAGATCCGGTGACAGTGTGGTAACCCTGCTTTCGTCATTTCATAATGGAAAATGGATACTATATACTTTTGGGGTAATCCTCATATAACCCTCAAATGCTAAAGATATGTATTGGAAAAAGAGTTTCAATAATATTGATTGACTTTTGAACTAGTAATTCCTCATATTCGTAAATTATCAATTGGGATAGTTATTGTTTAGGTATTTATTTTGGAAAATAAAACATAGGTGCGCCGTAAAATTATCCTATATATTTCGAATAATAAAAAAACAATAACAAAAGTCGAATATATCACAGTAACATAATGAAAATTCCACTGCTACTAACAGTCCTGAATTCTATTTTCTTCTTTTTGATGAACCGCCGTATGTTGCTTAATGTACCTGAAAAAAATTAACATTTTTTTACCTCAATACAGCGAAAATGTAAATAAGTGACAACTGTTGGAAACTAGAAGTCATCCAGTAAAAAATAGCATACTGATTACAATATTCGACTAGAAGACAGAAAGTATAGAAACATCAAAATATCTCGAAAAATATTAAAAATCTTATAGTTGTAAGGTTTGAAAAGGGTCACCTCATGGTGACCTTGAACTTGACTTTCACTATAGCCTTTAAGGTCATTTAAAAGTCATCACAGTTATCTTACACGAAAACCACTATTTCTGTTGTTGCAGAGCAAACTTGCAAGATTTCAAAAGACTCATATGATGGGGATCTTGAATGTGACCTTGACTATGACCTTTAAGGTCATTTGCAAGTCATTTTAAATGGAAACTACTATGGTTGACAACGCAATTGCAAACACCGGGAAGTTCAAGTCCTTATGCATGACCTTGACTATGACCTTCAAGATAATTTTAAGTGCAGAGAGAACAAAATCTTCCGAAAAATATGGTGCAGAGAAAAACAGTCGCAGAACAAAGTTGCAAGGTTTCAAAAGGTGATCTTGAACGTGACCTTGATTATCACATTTAAGGTTATTTGAAGGTCAAGGTAGTTATCTTAAATAGAAATCCCTATTTTTGACATGACAAACGTAAAGAGCGGGAAGTTTTACGTTCAAGTAAATTCTTGTGCATGACCTTGACTATGACCTTCAAGATCATTTTAGGCCGTCCAAAAGGTGTGGAGAGAACAAAATCTTTCGAAAAATATGGTGCAAAGAAACACAGTCGCAGAGCAAAGTTACAAGGTTTCAAAAGGGTCATCTAATGGTGATCTTGAACGTGACCTTGATTATCACATTTAAGGTTATTTCAAAGTCAAGGCAGTTATCTTAATAGAAATCCCTATTTTTGACATGGCAAACGTAAAGAGCGGGAAATTTATACGTTCAAGCAAATTATTGGGCATGACCTTGACTATGACCTTCAAGATCATTTTAGGCCGTCCAAAAGGTGTGGAGAAAACAAAATCTTTCGAAAAATATGGTGCAAAGAAAAACAGTCGCAGAGCAAAGTTGCAAGGTTTCAAAAGGGTCATCCAATGGTGATCTTGAACGTGACCTTGATTATCACATTTAAGGTTATTTGAAAGTCAAGGCAGTTATCTTAATAGAAATCCATATTTTGACATGGCAAATGTAAAGACCGGGAAGTTTTACGTTCAAGTAAATTATTGGGCATGACCTTGACTATGACCTTCAAGATCATTTTAGGCCGTCCAAAAGGTGTGGAGAGAACAAAATCTTTTGAAAAATATGGTGCAAAGAAAAACAGTCGCAGAGCAAAGTTGCAAGATTTCAAAAGGGTCATCTAATGGTGATCTTGAACGTGACCTTGATTATCACATTTAAGGTTATTTGAAAGTCAAGGCAGTTATCTTAAATAGAAATCCCTATTTTTGACATGGCAAAAGTAAAGAGCGGGAAGTTTTACGTTCAAGTAAATTCTTATGCATGACCTTGACTATGACCTTCAAGATCATTTTAGGCCGTCCAAAAGGTGTGGAGAGTACGAAATCTTTAGAAAAATAAGGTGCAAAGAAAAACAGTCGCAGAGCAAAGTTGCAAGGTTTCAAAAGGATCATCTAATGGTGACCTTGATTATCACATTTAAGGTTATTTGAAAGTCAAGGCAGTTATCTAAAATAGAAATCCCTATTTTTGACATGGCAAACGTAAAGAGCGGGAAGTTTCACGTTCAAGTAAATTCATGTGCATGACCTTGACTATGACCTTCAAGATCATTTTAGGCCGTCCAAAAGGTGTGGAGAAAACAAAATCTTTCGAAAAATATGGTGCAAAGAAAAACAGTCGCAGAGCAAAGTTGCAAGATTTCAAAAGGATCATCTAATGGTGACCTTGAACGTGACCTTGATTATCACATTTATTTATATTTGAAGGTCAAGGCCGTTAACGTTAATGGAAATCCCTATTTTTGACATGGCAAATACATATAAAGACCGGGAAGTTTTACGTTTAAGTAAATTCTTGTGCATGACCTTGACTATGACCTTCAAGATCATTTTCGGCCGTCCAAAAGGTGTGGAGAGAACAAAATCTTTCGAAAAATATGGTGCAAAGAAAAACAGTCGCAGAGCAAAGTTGCAAGATTTCAAAAGGGTCATCTAATGGTGATCTTGAACGTGACCTTAATTATGACCTTTAAGGTTATTTGAACGTCAAGGCAGTTATCTTAATAGGAATCAATATTTTTGACATGGCAAATGTAAAGAGCGAGAAGTTTTACGTTCAAGTAAATTATTGGGCATGACCTTGACTATGACCTTCATCCAAAAGGTGCGGAGAGAACAAAATTTTTCGAAAAATATGGTGCAAAGAAAAACAGTCGCAGAGCAAAGTTGCAAGATTTCAAAAGGGTCATCTAATGGTGATCTTGAACGTGACCTTGATTATGACCTTTAAGGTTATTTGAAGGTCAAGGCAGTTATCTTAATGGAAATCAATATTTTTGTCATGGCAAAAGTAAAGAGCGGGAAGTTTTACGTTCAAGTAAATTATTGGGCATGACCTTGACTATGACCTTCAAGATCATTTTAGGCCGTCCAAAAGGTGTGGAGAGAACAAAATCTTCCGAAAAATATGGTACCAAGAAAGAAATGTTACACAGCAAAGTTGCAAGGTTTCAAAGGTCCATCTAATGGTGATCTTGAACGTGACCTTGACTATGACCTTTAAGGTCATTCAAAGGTCAAGGCAGTTACTTTAAATGGAAACCCCTATTTTTGATATCGTAAATGTAAAGAGCCTGAAGTTTCAGGTTCAAGTTCTTATGCATGACCTTGACTATGACCTTCAAGACCATTTTAGGCCGTCCAAAAGGTGTGGAGAGAACAAAATCTTTCGAAAAATATGTTATCAAGAAAGAAATGTTGCAGAGCAAAGTTACAAGGTTTCAAAAGGTCCAGCTAATGGTGATCTTGAACGTGACCTTGTTCATGACCTTTAAGGTAAATTGAAGGTCAAGGCAGTATCTTAAATAGAAATCCTTATTTTTGATATGGCAAATGTAAATTGAGGGAAGTTTTATGTTCAATTAAATTCTTGTGCATGACCTTGACTATGACCTTCAAGATCATTTTAGTATGTCCTAAAGGTATGGAGAGAACAAAATCTTTCGAAAAATATGGAATCAAGAAAGAAATGTTGCAAAGTTGCAAGGTTTCAAAAGGTCCATCTAATGGTGATCTTGAAAGTGACCTTGAGTATGACCTTTTAGGTCATTCAAAGGTCAAGACAGTTACTTTAAACGGAAACTCCTATTTTTGATATCGTAAATGTAAAGAGCTTGAAGTTTCAGGTTCAAGTCCTTATGCATGATCTTGAACATGACCTTCAAGACCATTTTAGGCCGTCCAAAAGGTGTGGAGAGAACAAAATCTTTCGGAAAATATAGTACCAAGACGAAAAATCGCAGAGAAAAGTTGCAAGGTTTCAAAAGTGACATCTAATAGGGATCCTGAACATGACCTTGACCACGATTTTAAAGGCTTTAGGATGATAGAGAGGCCTGTTAAAGACCTTATTTATTTGTCCGTTTGTATTTTCTTTTCAAGCAAACGAGCGTCACCTGGAAGATAGATAAACAAAGTCATTTTACTGAAGAAGGTTACCGTTGTGACCGAAAAGTTTACAACAAAGAAGGTTTTTTCAGTGAAATGTAGGATAAGATTCAGATGTCACCTTACTCCTATTCTTACCTAGCATACATCTGCCTAGCTTGGTTTAAAACCCTAACGACGTTATGCTTCCTGACCATCTTGTCGAAATGCATGGCCATTTCGTTGTAGTCCATGCCTTTGCCGATGATATGATCGCGATGTTGCAACAGGAGCGTGATGCAGAGGAACATTAGAAAAGGGTTGCCGCCGCCGAATTCGTTTGGAGACGGCAGTTGACTTGACGTTTTGATGGCTTCGGTCACTTCTTCGCACGAGTTCGTCATGTGAGCGGTAGACGTCGCCGGCGTCGCGGATGACAAGGTTGCGTTCGGTAGCGGGGAAGGCCCTAGAAAAAATGGACATTGTAGCATTAATGCAAAATCAATCTTCAACAAACAAACAAAAAACATTTTTTGAAAAAATTGGTTTTACTATAGTTGAAACACCGTTTCTTTTTACTGTGACTGCTCCCGTTAAGTCGTGCGATTGTGGGTATCCTTTCACGCTGCGAAAAGAAACATTGGCTCTTTTCTAAATTAATTTTTGTTCTGCCCATAGATGGCGCGAATATCGTTCCTTTTAAGCGCCGCCGGTAGAATTCTTCAAACAAAAAACACCTAAAGAAGTTTGGGTCCACATGGGAATGAAAAAAAAAATACAAATGATAGATATTTTAAATGCGTCGATAATTACAAAAATCTCCCACCTGCATTGGTGATAGGAAGTCCAACCTTCCCCTGGGTATCTTCGGTCTTTTCGTTGGTGAAGGAGCCGAACACCTCATCAGGCGTTTTGGAGGTATCCTTAGGTAACAGCGGATTCTCCCACACGAAAACCTCGTCCCTGCTAATCTCGGCACTCCTGCATAACTTTTCGTTCTCCACGTACTTATCACCGAACACTTTCCTGTCGAGGTTTTCCAACTGGAGTTTCAACTCGTTCGTAATGCTTGCAGCAAACGAGGTTTGGTCTTGAGAATCTTCCGGACTGCTTTCGTCCAACGTGGTGTCGTCGTAGCTGTTTAGAGAAAATTTGCTGTCGCTGTTGCTGCTTATCCTGGATCTGTCCGAGTACAAGGTGGAACGCGTGTTGGATCTCGTGTTGTTGCCGATTCTGTCCTCCACTTGGCGGAATCTGAAAGAATATTTGAGGAACACCGTCAAGTTTTTCAGCTGGAAATTTTAGAAGTGAGAAAAAACATCCAAGTGGGAATCTGTCAAAAAATATTTTAAACGATTCTTTCAATATAAGTGGAGAGAAATTATAATTATTGGTGATTCGTTGTTTAGTACATCGTGAATTTCCATCAAAATTGTGTGCCAAAATTTCAAAATTCTCAGCTGTATACAAATATGCAACCGATTAAAGTCTTGCCCGAAGTCGAGCAGGTGTTGGAAGGAATAATATACGAACAAATCATAGAATTCATTGAAGAAACTAAAATTTGATAAAAAATCACGCTGGATGTAGAAAAAAATGTTCCACAGAAACGGCAATCCAAATGGTGGTAGAAGACTGGAGAAAACGTATAGATGAGAAAGAACATATTGTAACAATATTTGTGGACTTCAAAAGGGCATTTGAGACTATAGATAGCGAAAAATTGTTAATGAAATGGCGTCAGTATGGCTTTAAAGGAATCAGTATTACACATTTTACAAAATTATTTAGTGAAGTAAGTCAATAAACTAAAGTTGGAAATATGATGTCAAGTGTTCAAAATATATCAGTAGGGGTGCCACAGGGGAGTAAATTAGGGCCGTTACTATTTATTATGTATATAAATGATATCTCTGACATTTTAGAACAATGCAAAATTCAAATATTTGCGGACGATATACTTATACAGGGTGTCCCAGAAGTCGACGTCAAGCCGAAACCGGGTGATAGGCAAAGTCATAACAGCTATCAGAAAAATATTTAAAAAAATTTTATGTATGTGTTTTGAAAATTATAGGTCTTTGAAAAAGATATATAAATTTCACACCCTACGGCAGTCTGTCAACTCCTGTTACTACAAATATTAACTTTTTTGGATTTTATTTTTACAATGTAATGATGAATAATGCATCTTCAAACTGGTGTCTCAACCTTACTGCCAACTTTTCTCGTTCACGAAAAATTGCCACTTATTTCCCAACCAAGTATTCCAAAGTAAAACTTTGCTCAACTTTAACTGGCTGTACTGGAAAAATATGTACTATGAGAGTTTGGCAAGTAACCTTAAAAGTTGGCGCATTTAATAACGATTCCAAAATGGTATAACACTTAGAAGATTACTCGTTAACTTATGCACAATTTTTATTTGAAAAAAACTGATGAAAATTTTTCAATATTTCCTAATTAAACAGCGATTATGAAAACGCACAAGGACCCTTAAGGATAACTGTTTGCACAACAGTGGGCGTCAAAATGCTGCTTATGATGATTTACCTTATAGCAAATGCTCAAACTGTTTTCCTTCAGCCGCAATACACGCTCGACATCTTCTTAAAAAAGATCGGGTTATTAAACGAGCGAATCCACGGTTATTAACAAACTCAGCTGCTTCCAATAGTCTTTACCGTAGCTCAGCTACATTTTGAATCGGCTTGAAATACACTTTTTCTTTTACAGTTCCCCAGTAAAAAATCTAAAGGATTCAAATCAGGTGATCGGGCTGGCCACGGTATTGTACCAGACCGCCTTATCCATCTGCCTGGAAAGTTTTGATCGAGATACTCTCTCACTGAGAGTGCATAGTGCGCTGGGCAGCCATCATGCTGAAACCACATGTCCCTGTTAATACTCAGTGGCACGTCCACCAATAAATGTTGTACATGATTTTTCAAAAAATCCAAATAAACTTCAGCAGTCAAAGTCTCTGGGAACTCAAACGGACCGATTATTTTACCATTTAAAATTCCGGTCCAATGGTTTATCTTGAAGCGATATTGAGATTTATCTTCTCTCATCAAATGTGGGGTTTGCTACGTGCCACTCGTGTAAGTTATGCAGCATTTGCTGTAAAGGTAAATCATCATCAGCAGCACTTTGACGTCCACTGTTGTGCAAACAGTTATCCTTAAGGGTCCTTGTGCGTTTTCATAATCGCTGTTTAATTAGGAAATTTTGAAAAATTTTCATCAGTTTTTCTTCAAATAAAAAATTGTGCATAGGTTAACGAGTAATCTTCTAAGTGTTATACCATTTTGGAATCCTTATTAAGGCGCCAACTTTTAAGGTTACTTGCCAAACTCTCGTAGTACATTTTTTTCCAGTACAGCCAGTTAAAGTTGAGCAAATTTTTACTTTGGAATATTTGGTTGGGAAATAAGTGGCAATTTTTCCTGAACGAGAAAAGTTGGCAGTAAGGTTGAGACACCAGTTTGAAGATGCATTATTCATCATTACATTGTAAAAATAAAATCCAAAAAAGTTAATATTTGTAGTAACAGGAGTTGACAGACTGCCGTAGGGTGTGAAATTTCTAAATTTTTTTCAAAGACCTATAATTTTCAAAACACATACTTAAAATTTTTTTAAATATTTTCTGATAGCTGTTATGACTTTGCCTATCACCCGGTTTCGGCTTGACGTCGACTTCTGGGACACCCTGTATATATAGCACATAAGCATTTGGACACTGCTTTAGAAAAAATTATGAATTGGTTAAATGTCAAACTTAAATTAAACACTAATAAAATAAAATGTATGCCAATAGGGAAAGATTTAATTGACAATAAAATTAGGCTCATGATTAATGATGAAAAAATTGAAGTAGTCGAGTCATTTAAATATCTTGGATAGTAAACTACTGTTTCACGAACATTATGAATACATTATTTCAAAAATATCGAAAAAGATAAATTACTTCTAGTTCCCCATAATCTTAGTATGTATTCCAAAAAAAAAATGTGTATAACACTATAATTCTTCTCTAATTTTTTTATATTGTTCAACCATCTTGTTTACAGCAAATAGAAAGATATAATAAAAACAAATATGCTAGGATTAAGTCTATGTTAGAAGAACTGCAGTGGTTGGATGTGAAAAATTCCATATATTATTTAGTTCTCGTTTTCATATTCAAATTAAAACATCATTTATTACCACCACATTTAGAGAACCTCACAAAATTAAATAGTCATTATCATAACTACGAAACTAGAGGCAGTATAGATTTTTATCTTCAAAATTGTAATAGTAGCATAACTAGTAAATATCTATATTTCAAAAGGGAGTATTTGAAGTTAATAAATTGAATAATGATATTAAACAGAGTTCGAATTTAAAAATGTTTAAGGTGAAATTGAAAAATCACTTTATGAATAATCAAAATACATAGTGACGTAATTTTAATTTTAATAGACAAGAATGTAAAATGACAGAAAATGGATTGAAGCAAAATATGTAACCGAATCGATATTCAAAATTGACATTGTAGCATTAATGCTAAATAAATCTTCAACAACAACAACAGAATAAATTAGATGGATACTAGAGTGTCCCGGCCTTTAAGGGCAAACAATTATAGTTCGAATTGAGATACACATACCCTCTAATTTTTTCTATTCTACTCAGTCAATAAAAAAAAATATCATTGCGATAACTTTAGGTCAAACTTAATAGGAAAACCAAGTATGCATTTCAAAATCTAATTCTTACTCGACTAAAACTCCGCTTTATTTGTATCTCATATTTTAAAAGAACGTTATTTACTAAATTTTCTTTTTATAGTCAGGATATAGCTGCCTGTGTTCTTGTACGCAACATACTAAAAATTGTGTTTGTTCCTCATCAGCAGTGATTAAGCCAAGGAAGTCTTGTATTAACTCAGAGTTGCCAATCCCCTCCGAGAGAAAAACTATATACGAGCTTGTAAAAAAAACTGTAAAATATTTAAATTGCATTGCTTTACCTACATACCTGATACTTCCGAAGTTGAGGAACTCGTTCAAATTCTTTATCTTCTTCCCCGCAGGTTTCTCCTCCTCGATAATCTGGGGCGTATCCAACTGATTCAAAGAAGACGACAGTTTGCTTGCGGCTATCCTCTCCCTGAGTTCCTTAAAGTGGCCGCTCTTGGTGGTTTTCAACAGGTTCGTAAGACTGGCCGACAATCTACCGTTTCTTCTAGTCGCGTGTAACAAATTCACCCTGTTGTTTTGCGACTCTGCGGTTTTCTCTAAGGGCGAGCCGGGTTTGAGTTTCGGAGCGGTTCTGGTTTGTTGATCGGGATTGTTTGATGATTTGTCCTGAAAGGATGTCGCTTATAATGTTTCGCGAATGTAAATTCAGGCTT